ACATTGCTGCTCAATCACAGCTGCCTGATCAATGTTTTTCATTAGCAATTTAGCAAAGTTGATGGTGGTGGTGGTGTGTGTGTATGTGTGAGTGAAAGACAGAGAGGGAGAGCGAGGGACAGATTTTGTGTTATAATCTTCATGTTATGGACGCACAGTGTGAGCACTCAGATCGCATCAGAGCATCGGGCCATATAGTGTGAGACCCTGCATCTTGGCCTATGAACTTCTAATCCCTGCGAGTCAATCGTGCAGTTTGAGCAGGAGCTGAATAATGCGCCTGAAAAAAATCGCACAGTGTTTGCGCAACTTTAGTCAAAGTAAGAGATATGAAAGATTATGAGAACCCAGAAGTCTCCGTTATTGATTCTCATGTCCAGAGTAAGCGTTGAGTGTTAGCAGAGAACAACACAAAGGAGTAAATCACTGAAAACTCACCATCCATGATGAAAAGAAATGCAGTATGCAGACGAATCAGGTTGACTTCAGGTTTTGTGTCGTCCTTTGTTTATTTGTTGCTTCTTGTTGTCTGTTCTTGTGCGCTCCACGGTTAAACTGGCTCAATGACAATTTTGTTTCACTTTCGTTTTGACATCACTCCACAAGTGAAGTCAGTGAACCACCCACAGATAAAAAAGAGGAACAGGCTGTTTTTTTCCACTCGTTTATTGTCCTTCTTGTTAGGTTTCCAAAGTTTATTCAACAGTTCATGTCTGCATACAAAATAGAGTACAACTTTTATATTATTCTTATCTTTGTACTGCTGCTGTACAAAAATACACTGGATCGATGTGTTTCATAATAAAAGACTTGATTCACATAGTCAGGAGTTTCATTTATGTTTGTAAATCTGTGGTTTTTATTGCTTCGGTGACCTTGAGTCCACGAGGTTTTATAAGATGAGGGAGCAGGCTGTTTGTTGTACTAATATTGTCATATGTATATATGTGTCGAGCACCACAAACCCAATCTGAAATTAGTGATTTGAATCTCATCTTGTCCAAGCGTGTTCAATTAGAGGTTTGCAAACTTTATAGGAAAAAATGGTTCTACCGTACAGTAATGCTACACCTGTAAAACACGTGTGACTGTAATATAGATAACCTGAGAAAACATTAAAATTCCCTTAAGTAGTGTAATGCATTTTATCTTTTATGGCTGTTGACGTCTTCATTTTCATAACTGTATTTTCTGCTTCACTTGTTACCTTTATTATTATAATTGTTATCCTGGAGCAATTAAACACATTAATTAAGCTAGATAATCAAATCTCTATTTCTAACAGTTAAAAAAATTAAACCATAAACTGTTATTATCTTTCTTTTATTTAGCTTTTTCTCCGCTTTAATGTTGTCTCATTTTATTTTGTCTTTCTGTAAAATGGAACACATTTATTTGAAATGGACCAAGTTACACCAGTGTTATAACATATACCTTTTCTTATAAAAATCTCTCTGTTAAACTTGTTTGTTTTCAAAAACGTTATTACAATCAAATATATCAAATGCGGTAAAAAAACAAAAACAAAAAACAGTAGCTGTTGATTGGAATGATATAACTATATTGAAATGTATACAATAAACAAACAGGACTATAAAATGTAACAGAACAGAATAAAATATGTAGTATATGTTTATATAAGCCATCAAATAAAACTAATGTAATGAAACAGAAGTAGTTATTTAGTATTACTTTGTTGTATTTAAAATTTACATTTTTAGCATTAAAAACACAGATACTGTCACGGACCCGGCTCTGGAGGACTCAGGGGTCCGTGAGCAGTGGTTATTATTGTTGTTGTTATTATTATTACGACTATTATTTGGGGTCTGTGTCGTCTACTGTTCTGTCCACGTTTGTATGTAGAGTGCGTGTGT